GACCAAATCTTGATGTTGATGCTGATCTACAACGTCCAGATCTAGGTCTGTCTGTTCCTGATGTAAATGCAAAGTTACCCAATGCAGACTTGACAGCACCCAATGTTGAACTAAAAGCATCAGACTTGAGTCTCTCAGCCCCCAAAATTGAGGGAGACATTGGTACTCCAGGCATTGATGCTGGTCTCAAAACTGGCATTGATCTTTCTGCACCAAAAACTAACATTAACATACCAGACCAAGGCCTTTCTACCCCAAAGATTGAAGGTCCCAACGTGAATGTTGGTTTGCCTGGAACTGATATCAAGGCACCCAGTCTACATCTGCCAAAAGCTGACCTCCAGTCATCTGATCTCAGCTTGAAAACACCAAATGTCAACCTTTATCCACCAAAAATTGGTGGTAGTCTCTCAGCACCAAACATAGACACGAGTATGCCAAAAATTGAACTGGAAGCACCCGATGCCAATGTGAAATCTCCAGATTTGGATGTCAACCTGCCAAAAGCAGATCTCAAAGATTCCAATATCCAGTTGAAAACTCCAGATCTGGATTTGAATTCCCACCTTGGTGACTTTAAAATGCCACATTACAATCATCCAAAACTTGATCTTTCAAGTCCTGAAGTAGAAGCTCCCAGTATTAATCCCACAGTTGAGGCTGGAATTAAGGTACCTGGAGTCAGCACAGATATGCCTACAACAGATGCACACATCTCTGTTCCTGCAGTAGATTTGAATGCACCAAATGTAGGTGATATTAAAGGACCCAATGTAGATGTGAAAGCTCCAGATGTAGATGCAAGTCTTGAAAAGCCCAAGATGCCACATTTCAAGATCCCAAAGTTTAGTCTCTTTGGATCTAAACCAAAATCTCCTGAGACTAATGCCCGTGCAGATCTTGAGGGGAGTGGCTCTGACTCTGATGTGGTGGAGGTTCCTGTATTCAAGTTCCACAGACTGCCCCAAACCAACATTGATGGCATCGAAGGAATTACTGATGCACTGAGATCAATAAAATCTGACTCGGAGGAGAAGGATTATGTTTTCAGTAAAGGAATCCGCTTGCCAGTAGTGAATGCAACAGCAAACGGAGGAGAAAAGATTGACATTTTGGAGAGATTGAAAATTGCAAGAGAAAAGGCGTCCTCAGTGAATGTGTCACCAACAGAAGAGAAAACTGATATTGACCTACAACACACTGGCGCAGGTCTTGATGCTAATACAGGTGCAGGAGATTCGTCTTTGGTCAGAGGAGGCACTTTCAAAGTAGACAAACCAGAGTCTACGCTGGGGCTGACCGTACCTGATATTTCTACATCAGATGAAAGTGACAAATATTCACTGAGCCTTTCTAATATGCTTTGCCTTAATGTCAAGGATTCTGATGCCAACTGATCGTTCAAAGGTTGGCCTGATAAATGAAGCTCCAGTCCATAAATGTATGAATACATGCAGCTTAACTGATGTTCATGTTTTAGTTTGTGACATAAAAAGAGAGACTAGCTGTAACTAATCCATGCTAAATTGTCCATCTTGTTGTAATTTTAATAATAATTTAGCGTAATAGAGTTCAGTTGTTGATACAATCTATGTATATTTTCCTGTTATTTATAAGCTTTTTCTAAATGTTAATTTGAAATTACTTTACTTTCAGTATTGCTTGTGATCACCATAATCTTTGTCTAAGTGCTTTACTAAATATTTTAAAGGATAAATGAATTGTGTGAATGTGTTACTCTTTGT